AGCGAGGGGTTTTTTTGTCATGTTAAGACTGATAAAGAATAGGTATCCTTCAGTACTGAGATGAAGTTTTCCTTCAGTTTTGCTCGTGTCACGTGTACACCTAAAAATCCTACAATTCTCTTAATTTCGGAAAGCTTAATACACATGATCACCTCAAATGTAACATTTATTGAAAACTTAGCGCCTTAGCACTAACATTCTCTCCTTACTACACCCTTCATCTTCTAAACCAAGAGACCGGAAGGGAAAACCTACTCCTACCTTAAATTGGGGTCTAGCAAGAACTTCTTAACGCGAGTTCGCGCACAATTAAGCTGGTTCAGTAAATCAATTACCCCTACTACAAGACTTGACAATTTCTCAGAAGCAAAAACACAGACAGCCGAGGGCTTATTACTGGAGATGACTCTTTTCCTCACGTTTGCACAAGTAACTTCGGTAACTGACCTAAATTTTCCAGTTAAACAAACAGGTAATGGGGGGGGGGTCGCATTGTTTAAAAATTGGGTCATTTATTTATCCTGACGAGGCACCATCTTTCAGAGGGAAAAGTCTATGAAGCAGAAAGCCGGGGGAATGGGAGGGCAGATAGATGATAGCATCTTCAATGTAGAAAAGTTACAGCTCTTTACAAGAGTCAGCATTAGGGGCTCATTAGGTGGTTTTATTTGTGTTTAGTCACTTTCCTGAAAGTCCTCGCCAACAAAGAAGCCCTGAGGATCCGCCACAGTAAGGCGGAGATGTCCTCAATTCACCTGCGACACCTGCCCAGGTCCCCAGTTCTCCCCCAGACCCCTCTCCAGACCCCCGATCTCGGCTCTTCACCCACTCCGCCCCAAAGCCCTCGAGAACCCTCGTCCCCGCCCCTTCCCCCCGCCCCCACCCAGGCGGGGTCCCCTTGGCGGTCCCCAGGGCCCAGACCCCTCGCGCTTCCTTCCACAGCAGTGGCTCCCCGAAGATCGGGCGGCTGCGCGAGGAGGCCCTTCCAGGCGGGGCCTCTCCGCGCATCATACCCCGCAGGCTCCTGGGGACTCCCCGCCCCCGCAAACCGCAGGGAAACTAGGCCAGGAATGCCAGCCCCCGCCACTCTCCGCCTGCCTGGCGACCCCCCGCAGGCCGGCCGTCGGAACTCAGCTCTCCGAGTCGCTACCTGCCCAGCGCTCTCCCGGCCCGGAAACTCGGGCCGGCCGAGGCGCGGCGCAGGGTTCCTCCGCCAAAGGTCCTCTGCCGCACGCTCACCTGCTGCCCGATCTTCCTTCAGCGCCACCCGGGCACAGTCCCTTCCTGGGGCATGAAAGCGCCGGCTTCGGGCCTGGTCTCTCTCGGCAGAGCAGGGCGGGGGACTGGCTCCGGCGGCCACCGCCGCCTGGTCTGCGCCTGCGCCGGCTCCCTGGCTGGGTCTCCAGGGGCGCCTCCTGCAGCGAGGGGTAACGGCCGGGAGCGCGAGCTCGCGCCGGCGCCTCGGCTCACCGGAGGCCGGCCGTGCGGGCGGCGGGTTGCCTAGGAGCTGCGCGCTGCACTGCCGCCCCGACAGCTGACGGCCATGTTTCTGTTCCCTTTTTCTCCTTTCCTCCGCCTCCTTCCGCCCCTTTCCATAGAACAGCACTTTCCTTCCCCCCCACTCCCGCTCCCTTTCCTACTGCGGGGGCGGCAGAAAAGGGCGTGGGGGAGGGGCGGGGGAAAGGAGGGCGCGGGGGGCGGGGCAGCCCCGAGCCCCGCCCCCGGAGAGGGCCGAGGCCGCAGGGCCGCTGCTCCCCTCCCCCATCCGCGACCCCCGCGGGGTGCCCGGTCCCACTGTCGCCACCCTGAGAGAGCACCTCCGCCGCGTCCGTCCTGCGCATCCCGAGCAGAAACTAGTCAGGGAGAAGAGGCTCAAGGCACCGCTTCGCACCCCTTCCTGCGGGAATCAGACTCGCAGTTTGGTGTGGCTTTATTGCCTTGGCCTCGGGCAGGTGGCGGTCCTTTCGGGCTTTTCACAGGCGGGGAAAGTGACGCCGAGTCGCTCAAAGTCTCTGAGAACACTGTCGAAAGCTTCCTTCTCGGGGTGGGAGTTGGAATTCCCACGTTTGACTGGGGGCCTCCTGGACAGGAGAGAGCCCCACCGACTGTGGCTTCCCCAAGCCCTTCCCGGCTGCAGCGCCCCTGGAGAGTCTTAGACGGCGCTTAGTGTCGCTGCCTCGGCTGAGATTAGGGGATGAGAACTCGGATCTTGGAAATCTCTCGTTTAAATAATCAGCCCACTCCCGCCTCCTAAGTAAGTGTAGCCTCCATATATATGGAGCTGCATGCATGATCGGTTCCCTTAATGCAAATTATATGAAATGTAGACTACGTCCTGAAATAATTATGTATATTCAATTATATATACATGAAAAAATAGCAGCTAGTTATTCAGGAAGAAGCAAATGGTTTAAAACAAATTGGGAAAACATTTTTACCTTCTGGACAAAAAAAGTGGCCAGTGACTTCCTAGATTCCGTGGCAGGTCAGAATTAGAATTGACAAGATTTGTGTATATCTAATAAGTATTCACACACACAATAATCATTTTCCAGAAAAGTACTTTCTCCTTATTAAATCTGTTTTTTTACTTTTTTTTTTTTTCTGAAAAGTATGAGATTAAACTTTGGTCATGAGGGCCGTATTGACAATTTATTTCCAACGTTTATTGCATATATGGGGTGCAGAAACTATCTCCCTGACCATGTTAGCAGTAAGAGTTGATTCAGTAGAAATGCACAGCAATAAAAATGTCTTATTTAATACAAGGTTGGAGTCATTTTGAGCCTAGTGGTAACCAGTTATTGACAGTGACTATCTGGTCAAAAGTTTACAAAGGAACTAATACTTCAGAATTAGTTTGTGAACTTCTTGTCCTTCCATACTAGGCACTTACCTGGTGGATCTGTGGTTAGGAAATCCATGCTTTCACTGCCAAGGGCCTGGCTTCAATCCCTGGTGGGGAAGCTAAAATCCCATAAGCTACACCTGCGGCAAAAGGGAAAGAAAAGGTAACTCCTTTACTGAGTGTATCTGGGTTAAGCATGTGAACCTTACTTAGCATTCTGCAATGCCAAGTTAAATGACAGTGTTTACAGTTGCAGTAATAGAAGGTATCTTGGAAAAGTGGAGAGACTAACTTGTGTGATATGTTGTTTATAAACTATCTGCTTCAAGAGAATCATTAAAATATATTTCATATGATGTCTAGAATTTGCTTCAGAATAATAGTGGGAGCAGGAAGGTGAGTAGGGGTTGAGGTAAAATAAAATTGGACATTATGTTGAAGTGCAATGATTGGTACTTGAGGTTTCCTTATGTTCTCTGCATTTTATGTCATTTTGAAATTTTATATAAAAAAAGTTGTTTTAATTATTTCATGGAATTTCAGAGATGAAAAGAACTGAAGGGAATCCCTATAGAGATTCTCTAGTCTAATTAACTCATTTAATAGATGGGAAAACTAAGGCCTAGCAAAGTTTCTTAACTTACTTATTAATAGAAGTCTCCCAGGCTCAGTTTTGGTGATTTCATAGTTGAGTAGGAACTGCGGTTGACACACAACTGCAGTTTGAATTGTGGGTTTGAACTGTGAAGATTTACTGATATGGGGATTTTTTCCAATAAGTGTTTGCTACAATACTATGAGATCTGCCAGTTGGTTGAATCCTTGGTTGTGGAGTTGCAGATATGAAGGGCTGACTGTAAAGTTTTGTGCAGGTTTTAGACTGCACAAGGGGATTGGCACCACTAACCCACGTGTTGTTCAGGGGTCAACAGTACTAAATTCATGGCTCTTTATTTTCCCAAATAGAATAACTTGCTCCAGATTTTCTATAATCCATACTTTGTAGATTAACAAATTATTTCGTTCCAGCCCCTCATAATGAATTCTCAAAAACATGGTGTTTGAAGGCTGGTGCTTGTAAGCACTCTTAGTTTATTGTTTTAGAAAGAGTTTTTAGTAAGAATGACATCAACAAACACTAGATCTGCTTTATTCATATGATATCTAAATGACTCAGTGTGTTCCACTCTCCACAGGGAGCCCCAGCACACTCTTCTCTTTGTTCTCCACTCCATTATCTTATCTGGCTGGAGACTCTGTCTCAACTTTATCAGTAAAGGCTCATCTAGAGTCTTTTGGAGTTACTCAGCACATTCTTTATATAACTCTCCCCAAACATGACTGATATTCCTAACAAATTGTCCTGACCACTGATCAAAAAAATAGATGTATTCTTTATTCAAAAATTAATTTTAAAAAGTATATTATAGAAAACAATGAAAATTATAAAATACAAACAAAAATAGGAGTGTAATGAAGCCTCTGTACCCATCAGTTCAGTTCAGTTCAGTCGCATCTGACTCTTTGTGACCCCATGCACGCCAGGCCTCCTTATCCATCACCAACTCTGGGAGTCCACCCAAACCGGTGTCCATTAAGTCAGTGATGCCATCCAACCATCTCATCTTCTGTTGTCCCCTTCTCCGCCTGCCCTCAATCTTTCCCAGCATCAGAGTCTTTTCCAATGAGTCAGCTCTTCACATCAGGTGACCAAAGTATTGGAGTTTCGGCTTCAGCATCAGTCCTTCCAATGAACACCCAGGACTGATTCTGTTTCCCCATCTATTTGCCATGAAGTGATGGGACCAGATACCATGATCTTAGTTTTCTGCATGTTGAGCTTTAAGCCAACTTTTTCACTCTCCTCTTTCACTTTCATTAAGAGACTCTTTAGGAGCCGGTGGGGGTGGCCCTCGCTGGGGACCCTCCAGCGGGCCCAGGGGGACAAAAGTGCCTCAATCCAGCACGTGCGTACTGAGGCAAGTTAATGGATTTACTATGAAGCACAGAAGCAGATAATGCCAAAGAACAAGCAGTAATTGGTACACATTTAGTGAGTGGGGCGGCCTTTCCTTCTCCTACTGCTGCTGAGATGGCGAAAATTAGTCGAATTCGGTATGAATTAGAATACACCGAAGGTATTAGTCAGTGAATGAGGGTCCCAGAAAAATTAAAGGTGGCACCACCAAATGCTTACCTGGAGCAAGGATTTCAAGAAGGAGTTTCAAACGCTAGTGTGATTATGCAAGTTCCAGAGAGAATTGTGGTAGCAGGAAATAATGAAGACATTCCATTTTCAAGACCAGCAGATCTTGACCTTATACAGTCAACTCCCTTTAAGGCTCTGGCTCTAAAAACACCACCTCGTGTGCTTACACTGAGTGAAGGACCGCTAGATTTTCTGGATTTAGAGAGATCTGCTCCAACCCCTCAAAATGAACAAATCCATGCAGTTGGCAGGCTAAAAAGAGAACGCTCTATGAGTGAAAATGCTGTTCGCCAAAATGGACAGCTGGTCAAAACTGACTCCATACCTGTGTTTCGTGGTGGGTCTGCTGCCACCACTTCTAATCCTCATCATGACAACATCAGGTATGGCATTTCCAATATAGATGCAACGATTGAAGGAACTTCAGAAGACATGACAGCTGTAGATGCAGCTTCATTAAGACGACAGATAATCAAACTAAATAGACGTCTACAACTTCTGGAAGAGGAGAACAAAGAACGAGCTAAAAGAGAAATGGTCATGTATTCAGTTACTGTAGCATTCTGGCTGCTTAATAGCTGACTCTGGTTTCGCCACTAGAGGTAACCTCAGCTCTCAGAAATATTGTCTCAACAGCTGGAAATATAAAGAATTTGCAAACTTAAAAAAAAAGAGAGAGACTCTTTAGTTCTTCTTCACTTTCTGCCATAAGGGTGGTGTCATCTGCATATCTGAGGTTATTGATATTTCTCCTGGCAATCTTGATTCCAGCTTGTGCTTCCTCCAGCCCAGAGTTTCTTATGATGTACTCTTCATAGCAGTTAAATAAGCAGGGTGACAATATACAGTCTTGATGTACTCCTTTTCCTATTTGGAACCAGTCTGTTGTTCCATGTCCAGTTCTAACTGTTGCTTCCTGACCTGCATTCAGGTTTCTCAAGAGGCAGGTCAGGTGGTCTGGTATGCCCATCTCTTTAAGAAATTTCCACAGTTTATTGTGATCCACATAGTCAAAGGCTTTGCCATAGTCAGTAAAGCAGAAATAGATGTTTTTCTGGAACTCTCTTGCTTTTTCGATGATCCAGCGGATGTTGGTAATTTGATCTCTGGTTCCTCTGCCTTTTCTAAATCCTGCTTGAACATCTGGAAGTTCACAGTTCACATATTGCTGAAGCCTGGATCAACTCATAACTAATCTTGTATAATGTATGCCCTTCTGACTCCTTTCTTCTGAGCATCTTGAAGCAAATACGCAACATTGTGTTTCACCTGTAAGTATTTCAGCATAACTGTAAGGACTTTTTAAAAACCATATCCACACGCCATTTTTGTGGATAAGATAAAGATAAGGACTTTTTATTATTTTTTATTTTGATAAAAACCATACCCACAATGCCATTTTTGCCATTAAAAAGAAAATTTTTTTTTAACTTTTTCTGTCTTTTTTGATTCCACTTGGTTTTCATTGTTATACACAGGCTTTCTCTGGTTGCAGGAAGCAGAGGCTTCTCTCTAGTTGCGGTGGCTTCTCTTATTGCAACAAGAGAATAAGCACATGCTCTAGAGTGTGGGCACAGCAGTTGCAGCATATGGGCTTAGTTGCCCCATGGCATGTGGAATCTTAGTTCCCCAACCAGGGATCAAAGCTGTATCCCCTGCATTGGGAGGTGGATTCTTTACCACTGGATCACCAGGGAAGCCCTAAAAAATTTTTTTAATTGATATTTTAGTAAATATTTTGTTAATGTTTTTAATGACCAAGAACCTTACCATGTTGATATTGCACCTTCTCTCACCCCTTTCTACTTGTGGATCTAGTCCCTTGGATACAACTCCTGCCCAGAGGGTTTGAGTTTGCCATACTCCTTTTTGATTGGTGCACTAGAATGTTACTTCCCAGTCCCAACTTTTTTCTAGCTCCCTCCATGCTTCAGAGAATATAGGGTAGGGATTCTTTCCTTTCAGATTTTCCCCTCAAAGGTGGTTCATTATCCAGTTCAAAAACTCTGTAATACTTAAGAATCAGAGACTGCCTAAAAATCTCAAAAGTGATTATCTCCAATTTACATTTAATCTGAGTGCAACAGGCTAAGTAAGGCTTGACATGCCCTAACCCAAAAAAAAAGGAGATCACTCCTGGGTGTTCACTGGAAGGACTGATGCTGAAGCTGAAACTCCAGTACTTTGGCCACCTCGTGCGAAGAGATGACTCATGGGAAAAGACCCTGATGCTGGGAGGGATTAGGGGCAGGAGGAGAAGGGGACGACAGAGGATGAGATGGCTGGATGGCATCACCAACTCAATGGACATGAGTTTGAGTAAACTCCGGGAGTTGGTGATGGACTTGGAGGCCTGGCGTGTTGTGGTTCATGGGGTCGCAAAGAGTCGGACACGACTGACTGGCTAAACTGAACTGAACTGAGCCCCCCCCCAAAAAAAGACTGGGGATCTGATGCTGATACCCTTTAATACCAATTCAAATTTCCCTGTATGTAGTTTTATAGTTCCTTTCACACAGAAAAGGAGAAAATGAACTAAATTCTAGAAGCCATCTCTTTAAAGGATCAATAGAAAATAATTATTTCAACCGCTTTCTGTTGTTCTAGGTTTAAGCTCTTCTTCATCTTATGTGATCTCAATTCAGCTCAGTGGCTTTATCTGCGTGTTGTTCACTCCCAGATTTACTGCTCTAGCTCCAGTTTTCCCCAAGCTGTAGATTTAACCATCAAACTACCTCCGGTGTCCAAATGGCATCTCACACTGTACATGTTCAAGATACATTTCTTATTTCCTTTCCTGTCTTGCATCACCTCCCACCCCAAAACTATTCCGTTTTAAGCTACCTCACTTCACTATATGATACCACCATCTCATCTCTTACCAAATGATATCTTCCTTAATCACCAGATCCAAAGATGGATCAGCTGAACTGGCAGTTAAGGAGGACATCATTTGGCATGCTGGGAGAGAAATGGGGCAGGGGTCAGCACTCTGAAACTGTCCGGCACTTTCAGGGACAGTTCCAGGGAGCCACACCAGGACCAGTGTCTACAGATCATTGATTGCCGTTCAGGGGTACATAGCATGCACTCATGCAAAGTTGCACTTTAGCTGCATGACTGGTGGTTGAAGGGTGTGGTCCTTCCATTGACAGCAGCCTGCTCATGGCTGTGGTTCTTGAGTTAGGGAGTGCAAACCTGTGTCCTGAGACTTGAACCAATAACCACATTGTCCATATAAACAACTACCCCTTTTTAGTTTTTCAGGATCCAGGCCAGGGTGACTCGACACCCACAGGAGCAGTGGTAGTACAGAAGGAAGAACCTTACCATTAACGCTTGGGAGGGACTGGACAAAGATAAAGCCACCGCCTTACAGAGAAAACACTTGTTAGATAAGCTGTGTTAGATAAGCAGGAGTTGCAGTGTTGTTGACCATGAGTTCAATGTTAATGAATCAATGATATTACATATGGTGTTTTTAAGCAGCAAGACACCTAACACAAGTGTTTGACACAAATGTCGATTGACACAAATGTTGCAAATAGAGGCTCTCAGAAACCTAACAGTTATTTCCGCTAGGAGCAATGGTTGTGTTTGCTAATTTAGTATTCTCTGCTTACCCTATTTAGAACAGGGTTATACCATCTTGTTATACCATCCTGCCCTGTTTTAAATATTCCTCATACTCTGGTCAGTGACATTTCCTATCTGTCTGTCTATGTGTTTACTACCTTCCCTACCAGTATGTAAGCTCCTTGAGGATAGGAAGTTTATTGTCCTTCATTAAACTTTTATTTTATTATCTTTTTACCTACAGCAGTAGTAATTTCCTTAAATATTTGATGCTGAGTTGTTCGCATAATTAAGCAACCCTTTTCAGAGTCTGTTCTCTCCATCAATTTTAAGCCTTTGTGTTTCTGGTCGTCTTTCTGTCCTTTAAATTGCTGAAACCCTAGCACAGGTAAATACCAGCTGGCCTCCCCTCTCCAATCCTGTAAATGTGCCTGAGCATGTCTGAAATCTCTGGGACTCTTACTATCCACATTTCTTCCCTGTGCGCAATTTATTTTTTATTATTATTATTATTTATTTATTTTTTATTTTTATTTTTTGCTTGCACGCGCGTGCACACACACACACACACACACGTCAGCTTTGTGCTGCTGCTGCTGCTAAGTCGCTTCAGTCGTGTCCGACTCTGTGCGACCCCATGGACTGCAGCCTACCAGGCTCCTCCATCCATGGGATTTTCCAGGCAAGAGTACTGGAGTGGGGTGCCATTGCCTTCTCCCCTGTGCACAATTTATGTAAGAAGGTTCTTTGAATTGGGTCCAGAGCATTCAATATGATTGTAAACAATTCTCTAATAGCAATAACCATTAACTGACTTATGCCTCAAAGTGAAGAGCAAGTTAGTAGATTCCATCTTAACTGACTCGAATGCCATGTTAATTCTCAATTAAATGGCTATTTACTGATGACTGCTACCTTCAAGAGTTATTAGAATGGATTCTGTGGTGGTCTAGTGGTTAGGACTCCGCGCTTCCACTGCCATGGTCCCAGGTTCAATCTCCGATCAGGGAACTAAGATCCTGCAGGCTGCGCAGTGCTCTAGTAATACTTAGAGCATTTTGAGCGTGCCAAAAGAAAAATTATATTTGTGTTTACTTTAATCATAAAGGTTTTTGCTATTTTAATACTATTTCGATGTTCTAATAACTCTTAACAAGGGTCATTACTGCCCCCACTGACAGCAGCCCGGATCCCTCTCCCTCTGGGGCTCTCTTAGTGGCAAAGGGGGAGCCGGCATTTGAGGTTCCTTGCCCACCCACGGCCACTCGCCAGGGCAGTCATCCTGTCCAGAACTCCCACTACCTCTGTCTCCCTGGCCCATTTGGGGGCAGTTCAGGGAGGCACACTCTTTGTGGGGGTAGAGGTAGGCAGACCCAAAACCTTTTTGCCTGAAGTGGAAACCATAAATTTGAGGGGCTGGTCAGAGAGAATGGGCTGGGCTTTGATGGTAAGCTGGGTCACTGCAACCCTGCCCAGGCGGGCCCAGGACCTCTCTGCTGAGGTGGGACCCTATCATCTCTGCCAGCACTCTCTGTTTTCTGCCTGGAAGCTATTTGGGCCTCTCCGTGGGCAGAACCAAGGCTCCACACATGCCTCTGGGCCTTCTGTGAGTCTGTTTCTGTTTTGTAAATAAGTTCCTAGTATTTTCACTTATTCCCTGGGCAAGTTATTTAATGGCCCTATTTCCCCATGCATGAAATAATCCATCTTGCAGAGTCCTATAAGATTAATTATCATTTGCAACAACTATTTATCAGTCATCTACCATAGGCCAGTCACTATGCTAAGTACTGAATTTTCCTTGTCTACTCCCTAACCTTATAGGGGAATTGTCACTGTGGTTACTCATGATATAATGTATGTAAAGCCTCTGTCATAGTAACTGACGTGGACAAGTGTTGGCATACTACAATCCTTGGGCCAAATCCAGCCTGATGCCTGTTTTTGTGAATTAAGTTTTGTTGGAGCAGGCATGCCCATTTGTTTACTGCTGTCTGTGGCTGCTTTTGCACTATAATGGCAGAAATTAAGAGTTGTGACAGAGGCCATATGGCCCACAAAGACAAAAATATTTG